AAAMCSRWTMYWAAACACTTTTAGTGTTACCTAACCGTGAACGATATCAATTTTCATGTTTTATAAATGCCCTTTYAGTTTCAATGAACCAATACTGCTCAAAAACCATGCACTATTGACATTTTGGTTCTCTGATTAAATGAATAGAAAACCTCAATAGAAAACCTCAAAGTGTTTTCGCTATCAGTTTCTCACGCTGTTATTGAAGTATACCGGTAAAGACTGGAACGCAATTTTCATTGTGAAATCCTGAATCCCAACTTTCACTTTCATTGTTTCATTGCTAAGAGAATATTTCTAGAGTGAGAGTAAGAAACCTGAATGGGAGTAGGAACTATTACAGCGTGTTAGACTGCATGACTTAGATGACCGCAGCGACAGCGCGCAATGAGAACACCAGCAGGTACTGTGTTTATATAAACAAAGGCGAACATTCTGATATAAGACCGCGATCTACAATAACCACATACAAATCATGATCGGTATGCCATACAAGCTTGTTTAATACGATATTTTCTATCTAGTTAAAAAACTTGACATCTTGAGATGCGTAGTGTTGTGAGAGCAGAACTACAGGTTCGTACGTCATGCTACGTTTGCGCTTGCACAGGTCACGTTACATTCACGTTAGGTCACGCCATCACGCGAACTAAAAATACCACCACGTTGCTTTGGGTCGGTTTCCTGTGGTATTCCTGTGGTCTAAAATCATTTAGTCAGCGAGTGGACAAAGAGAGTATTTTTGGCTGTTCTGAATCGTGTGTGAATTTGCAACAACTTTGAATCAGTGACGCAAATATATCCTTGACTAAGACTCATTGTTAGACATTGAATGTTGTGTTATTGGATTTATCAGGACACGAAAAAATTGTAAATCGATTCTTAAACAATAGCAACTGAGTTCATCCTGATCGGTTTTAGGTTTTCTAAACGCCTTGGACATGAAAAGTTCTGATCCGATTATTTGTGGTTTAGTTTTGTCTTAGTTCATCGTCGATTTTTTCTCTGATTTCAGTTAAAAGCGGTTTGCATAGGAAGGATTTCCTAATTCTGAATTAATGACAATAATTAGTAAACCCCGGCCACAATTTAACAATACCTCAAAAACTAGAAAGACGAACGGACAGGCAAAATACACAACAACTTTTTAATCAAATCAATTAATAAACGCCCTTATAATCTTAACGCATTKTGATATTTTGCCTACTCATTTATCAGTCACGGTTTATTGGTATATTGCGGATTAGCTACACGATGGTAGTAGTAAAGCAGTGCTACGAAYAGGATTATAAAGCTATTTACAGCGCAGTAATTATAAAACCAGAGGTCGAGTATTTTGAAGAAGGATATCAAGATGGCTATCATTCTTATGTTAGATTAAAATGTCACATGCACAGTTTGATTATATTAAAACACACAAAAACCTGGCAAAAAACATGTTTGTTATTCTAGAAGTCTCGGTTAAAAATCGTAAATAGTATATAATAGAGTTTTCGTAAGRTGAGGTTCTATAAACAACGTATCTGAACGTAACGTGGTCAGTAGAAACCTCTGGAAAATWCCTATCATATTTCTWGKTATTTGTCTCGTATTTAGACCACTAATTATGGCTCGCGCCCTCAAAATACGCAACAAAACGCCCACTTCTCGGTAAAGACATGGGTTTTTTTGGTCTAAAAAAGGAAATTGTGAACCCTACGTATGTTTAGGTCAACGTCCGCTCGTTTTGCGTGGYGAAGTCCGTTAAATGAGCTCGTTTACGTTAGTAGCAATGCAAGGTACTATTTTMAAAAACATCATCGTAACACCGTGACCCGTCCACGCGAAACACATAACACCAACAACACAAGGTAATAGTGAATAATAATCTTCCAAGGTRCTTTGCTGAGCCAAAGAGTGCCAAAGTAATTACGTCATTAAATGAACATTTCGATTTCTTTCATATCACGTAAAGACCAGGTATAGATCGAATTAGACTGCACGAATTTTACCTCAACTAAGCTTTGCTACTTGGCCCTCATGCACATTTCTAAATTATGACCATTATTTTAATGGAAAAGGGAAGAAAACAATATAGATATACCATAAATTGTAAAAAATAACTAACTGAATAGTGCAATAAAGATTGATTGACTGATAAAAACCATATATAGTGGTCATCCTTACAACATCACTACTGCTGTTAGCAGGGATTTCAAACACGTTATTTCTCGATAACCCCACGGCAGTTGTAACCCACATGTTGAAATGAGGAATAATGCATAGTTTTGTAGGCTTTAGGAGGAAATTTCTCTCCATCATATTCTATAAAAAGCATTTATAACGGGAAAACAACCCGTTGCCTACTATCGAACAACTCATCGACAGATGGCGAGTTCACTGATATGAAACCCGTGTGTTTTCAGTAAAAATTTGTTCGTCCAGCTTATGCAGCCAAATTGTCAGCTAACGCGATYAGTACTTTGYMAGTGACGGAATTSCRTCCTTCAATTCGTYGGGATTTTAYTTGAATTTCGTCCACGACGAGTTTTTCGTYKTTTAAAAGAATTCAGGATGAAGAAAGAAGGAATTAAGATAGAATTTGCAGTAATCTTCTTGCTCTTTCAAGTCTTACATCACTCTGGTCGTCTGTTCCTATGGATCAGTAAAAATGATATAAAGTCAGTTCATTGACAGAAACTTTATATATATTGTATTTATTGARAAACTTTCCCGTAGTCATGAAACCATGACAACAAGCTAAACACCCTGAATGACTMATTCAACCAATCAACAGTCAGGAAAAAAATCCCGCCTTTTTAAAATCTTTATTCCAACCTTATCCTTTTTTCAGCTATTCTTTACCATGGCTATCGGGATCTTCAATGTTTCCCATGATAAATATTGTTTTCATTAACCAAGCCTCCAGGTTAGTTAAGGAAATCAAAAGTTTTCAAAAGTGCTAGAAAAAAAGATGTGACATACCTGTCTCGTTATTGATGACTGTCTCTGCTTTTGCAATTGTTGTCTCTCTTGATGATCCCTTTAGACCTTCTAAATACTGAAGTAAAACCTTGAACTTTTTATCTGGGACCTGTTCAACAATTAAGATTTGTGTCATTAACTAAAATGGGTGATATTAAAACAAATGTAAAAGGAAAAGGGCATGATAATGAAGTTAAAAAGATGGTAACTAACTAGTAACTTTACAAGGAATCCCAATAGGAGTTAAAAGTACTAATAGATTAATATAAACTATTATTATATAGTTATTAAATATCAGTTTATTTCTAATGTTGAAAAGTTGCTATATTCAAGAGTGGAAAATCTTTCACATGTGAAGTTATCACTTTTGCCATGATGGTAAGTTTTCATGGAAACTAATTACTCATTTCAACAGACAATTAGTATTGAACAAGATGTAAATAAATAAATTGGTGATAGCTAATCACCCTTCATTGCAGCCAGAGTGCTGAATTACGAAGATCATGTGATCAAGTCGGTTATGCGGTATACAAGGGCGTTATCATTATGAGGACAATCACATAGTTAGAACACACACAAAGCAGCCGACCCATATCTGATCACGGAGCACAGATAGGATCAAAATGTTCTGTTTTTGCTGAGGAGGAAAAACCGGAGAACTTGGAGAAAAAAACCCTGGAAGCAAGAGAGAGAAAGGAAACAAACTCAAGCCACATGTGATCCCAAGTCAGAATTGAACCCTTGCTTCCCAAGGTTTGGAATAATAGTCTGCAAAGCACAGGCCAGTTGTGTGAAGGGTGTATAAAGTTATTCACTCCTTAGATTTTGTATGTGATCTTATCTGCTGAATCAGGATATATCCAGTGGCTAGCGCTATTCACCTTTCATACAAYCAACTATCCATTTTACAGCCAATAGTTATAACCCTTGGGAAATAGAGAATAATTGTTATTCATGTACCCCTGCTATAATAATCTACCTTAGTTTGGTTGAACATATTCTTCAGCAGCCAAACTTGCCGAACCTTTTTAAAMGTCCACTCAGAACGGTTCTTTTTCCATGTCTTGAGATAGAGCAGAGCTTGCTCTGCTGCACAGTCTTGATCATCATTGTTTTCATCACCCTCTTTGTCTTTCTTGATTTCTCCATTTTCAGTTAAAAATGTGATTGATTCTTTCTCAACCACTTTCTTTGCTTCTCTTTTCTTTCGTTTTTTCTTTTCTTTGTCATTAATAGATTCTGAATTACTAAGTTTTGTTTCTGCTGACAGAATTGTTTTGTTTGGTTGWCCTTGTTCTTTTTCTTTTTCAACAACGTCTGTGGCCTCCAACTCATTTGTTTTTATCGAATTTTTCGTTTTTAATTCGCTTGACATATTTTTCGTCTTCTTCTCTTTCTTTCTCTCTTTACCTGTTTCACTGGCACCCGATAATAAACCTTCTTCTTTTTTGTGAATTTTTTTTAGTTTTTTCTTTGATTTGTCATCTTGTAAACAGTTTTCTTCGAGTTGTTTTCGCTTCCTTTGTGAATTCCCTTCATCATGTGCACGTGTGCCGTTTTTGTAGTCATTCGTCTTGATCTCTTTGCTGGTAGAGCTTGCTTTTAACTTCTTCTTTTCACCCATTTTGAATTTTAAGACATTAATCGTATTTCTAAGAAAAGAAATCCACCGAAACTACAAAATAAATTTTAAAACACTTTGTGGCACGTCCGCCATTTTGTTCTAWTTGAACCACAAAGGATTGGACCGAGTAGTTCTTTATTACACAGGGAGACCATAAAATAGTAACTTTCGTTAGTTTTTAGTCGTTTGGTAAATTGATTGATTGGTTTAATTAATAACTCATTTTTCTACTTCATTTATTCATTTCTTATTTATTCATTAATTATTCTATTAGGTTATGCGCTCTCCATCCAAAGACATGACAGAAGAAATCAGCCATGTTCATAATGAACTATTTCTTTGTGGCCATTTTCTTTTATTATTACTTAATTCTTCTTCCCCTTCTCCTTTTTTTGTTTTGGACGTTCAAACACACCTACCAATTGCATGGATCGCCAATCTGACCGACTTGCGCCAGCTGAATCTTGAAAGAAGGGTGCGGCATTTGCATCATTGACTAAATTACCTTCAAATCACTGAGATCACACTTTCAACTAAGTACGCAAAAACATGACGACTTTGTCTGTAGACAAGCGAAGCAAGCAAACCCTGTACTAGCCAGACAACTAACTGTCACTCCTTGAATACAGTGCCAGTTCCATTCCTGAGACAAGGTAGGTTTGATGAACGAGGTCAAATGATATCAAAACATTATTTCTAACCGCTAACCCGTTAGGCATGCTCTAATATATAGGTTGATAAATTAAACGAGTACTTCCAGTCTAAAATGGCAGACGTAATGATATCACAATGGGCTGATAAGTAGTTAAGCCCTTGTTTTTGATGTAAACGTCGTTCTTCGTATCAATCGTTTGTCAGTGGAAATGCTTTATCTGATTATCTGCGATGAAACGAGAAGCAGGGAGAAGCAAGATTCATACCACATGCTTGTAATATTTGCAAATTAAAACTAGCCGAACAGATCCGAAAACTAACTAMGTCTATTTGCTAAAACACTTAGTAATTTGCGATTGTAATTATCAAGAATTGTACGGTGAAATGCACTTCCCAGTCAAACTCGGTCGACTGTCCCGCTAACCGCCATTACAGCAGGTGTTMTTGTAAATATTGTATAAGGTTCAACAAATAATAACAATTCGAATTGACCTGTGCAGTGATTTGCTACAAAAACCAACTGCTCCAGCAATCCATAAACATCTTTCAGTTCTTGACAACATAATATAAAAAGCACACAAAACAGAGAAAATCCAGGCTGCAAAACAATGAAAWTCTCTTGTAGTGTTTTTACAGTCCTGTCTGCACGAGCCAGAGGGGAGGAATGTCAGCTTTGGAGGTGTTTGACGCATAAGCTCTACTATTAAGATAATCCCGAGTTCACATGATRACGAAAATGTTTATATCCAAAAAWTTWTTWTTGAGGATGCAAAAATTTTCGCCTCCACACGAGTCTGATTCGTAGAGCTTAGTTTTCGAAGATCTCCTTATTCGATCGCAATCGTATACAAAAAAKTTTCCGTTACAGTGTGGACGGCTCAGCTTGGAGCATTGATTCTTGTTCATCCGGTAATAAAGCGCATCAATTTCCGCATTTTAGATTTCGTAAGCTTTTGTCCGGTAACACTGAGTCACGATATACAATTCGTTTCTGCCTGCATGGAGAAAATGAGGATGATGGCCAGATCAAGGCTAAGTTGGCGCATATCGATGCAAGAAAGAAACGCTACTTATGCTTCATGTCCGGTCCTTTACTAGTTGTGACATTTCAGCAAGTATTCCGTTAAATTGTGTTATCTGTTTGTTTGCAGCAGCTTATAATGAAAGCAKTGATTTGGTGTTCGTTATTTATTGTGATCCTTCAGCAAGGTAAGAACAGCTCAACTCAAAAAAGATCTCAGTTAATTTCGGCACGAGCGACAAGCATCAATGCCGGCAAGCGCGAAAGGAGAACGGAGTATATTGTTAGCTTTCTTCCTTTTGCGTGCATTGCGTTTGTTYTCGTAAAAACTACAAGCAAAAGTAAGAAAGATGAAAAATGCTCCGTTCTCCTTTCGCGCTTGCACTGATGCTTGTCGCTCGTGCCGACATTTTGAACTGAGTTCTGTACTCGAATCTTTACCTATGACGCGGTCATTTCCAGGCAAGTTCCGTGACCGTGTGCTGCATGTCCCGGAATTATCTGTACACAGAYGTAAATAATCTGATCGGCGGCCACTGTCAGTATGCAGATCAAGATAGCTGAAATTGAAACTGTTTTAACAGTTACTTTTAAGTAACAGCGTGTTTACTTATCACCTCTTTGCTTGCAGTGGACGGAAGCCCATGGGTCTTCGAAGAAATCAAGCCAATATCAGCTTCAGAAAGCGTGAAAAAGTCTTCGGTACCAGAAAAACCTGTGCAGGAAATAGACCCATCGAAAACACTTGTACATATCAAAGAAGATATTCGTAGTGATATTCTAGGAAACAATGGCACAACCTTCAAATACAAAGAAGGAGTCAAAAAGCTTCTCGATTTTTTAGGTTCAGGATCAGCAAATGACGATAAGTTAAAAAACAAGAACAATGACACTACAACACAGGATGACCAGCATAAACAAGATCATCAAGCTGACGATGGCGTTGCAAAAATACTTCTTCAGTTTGACAAAGGCCATACAAACGACCAAATCCCCTCAAACGTTAATGCTTCCCAAGTTAAACAACCTAAGTTACTTAGCAACRCTGTCTCAAGTCTTGTAAGTAATGACGGCCTTGTAACCAAGACAACGCAAAGTTACCWACCAAAGCTACCAGTTGCGGTGCGAAGTCAAACRCCATTGGTTTCATCTACAAATACAGCACAGATAYCCTCTCTGCAACAACAACAAAATGTGTTCACCAAAAACAAAATKCCATATTTCGGCATCAAGAACGACGTTGCAATGGCGGCACAACTTGCCAGACAAAAGGTTTTAAGAAAAAGCTACATTCCTTATTCGTCGGTTCCCAAATATCAACCATACCACCCATATATGGCATATAAGAAGTCATCTTTACCATATGGATGGTACAATACAAACAGTAACATCGCTACTCAACAACAGCAGGTCAGCCCGCATTATCCATATCAACAAATAAGTCCGCTAATCAYGCGGTCRAAGGTTCCCAATTTATTATATAGAAACCCGTATTCGACGTACACMAAGAGCTACATTCCTAAACCTAATCCAAGCCTATATAGGCTRCCGACTTTCAAAAAGGCAGCTCAACTCAGCAAACCACCTGCTCTCATGCGGTTTTCAACCATAAATAATGCGCGCGCACCAATTTTTCAACATGCTCAAATTGCGCATGTTCCGTTATACCGACAGCCAATGCAGTGGAATAGTGTACCACATGGYTTGGAGTATGGTAGACCCAGATATCGACGCATGGCAGTTACWAATCGCGGTCGAAAATATGACGGACTTCAATCTCCGCGTGAAAAGGTAAACAGTTAAAGTTACAGTTATTAATTTACCTATACCCATTCTCTTGCTTACTTCATTGTTTTTGGTTTGTCTTTGACTAGCGGCAACAATGATTGTCGTAAAACCAAAGAAATGCGGCTTATTCTCTTATTGGGCATTACTCCTGACAAATTCAGAGGATAACATGTTTAACGCTCAAAGTGATCGCTTTTGGATCTTTGTCATAATCAATTGTGATCCTCGTCATTTTTCTAATTTTTCATTTTGATCAACTATATCATTGATTCCTATAAGGTGGCACAAAAAACTCCACTACCTCTCCCACTGGCATCGATTATGACAGCAGCGAGAATTGTGGTTCCTGCTCGTCCWAATACACTCAACGGAGCATCAAAGTCGAATGTTGAAACAATACAACCCGATAATGCTGAGCAACCGAATGCACGCGCAGTGTAGTCAGTCAGCTGATAGTATCTACAATTACAGCCTGATCTATAGACAGAATCATTTTCAAAGAAGTTAGTATTTCATGTGTACTGTATTACTAAAAAACTCAATAGCTGGGTATTGATGAGTAGCAGTTGATAGCAAATTTTCACGAGCTTTTTTTTCAAAATAACAGAAATCCGAATATAATTAATTTTGCTAAATACTTTACTTACAAYAGACCTTTTTTAAGGGTTGAGTGGTGACTTGCGGTTTTGCAGTTATAAGCGAGGCAGAATCGGGCAACAAAATCAAGTGCTGTGCYTTTAGAGCTTGTTAATGTTACTAAAAAACAATTTCTGTTGTTTCGCATTCTTGTTCATTTAAGAGGTAAACGTGTTGCCCGATTTTTCCTCGCTTTGGTTTTAACCGTGGAAAGGACCATTCAAAGAGCCTTGATAATTGGATCAAGATGATCATGACCACGAAACGGCGCATAATTGCATYACTTTTATGGGTCAGTTTCTCTTTAAGGATTTTTTATGACTAATTAGTTTATATTAGACATCTTTCATAAATAATGCATGATATTTTATAGATAAACAACAATTACGAGGGCTCATAACACGACAATTTTGCTTTCTGTAACTATCAGGCTTTTGAATCGACTCTTGCACCAAGCAACTCGGGGAAAAAAACCGTCGTGAGCTACCTTAACAGATCTCAAAATTTAGATATGAATATAACAAATAAATCATGTTTTATTTGTACTCAGAGAGTGTGTAATTTACATTATAATGCATGTGATSCCTTCTCTTAAAGCCAAATTTCGTAGTTCATTATATTTGGTGAGGCACAAATGACACTTATGTCTTCAATGGTTGGGGTATGTCTAGATACGTCTAGTGTACAAGACCTATGTTTTCACTGAGTTAACTGAATTGACTAGTTCTTGGTTTTCATTAGAGTCACGTGATTTTACCAGTGGCATATATATCGTTTCACCAGAATTCCTTTCAGACGCATCGTTACTAGGTTTCCCAAGATTCATTTCGGACTCAAAGTCGATGCTAACACGTAGAAGACTCAAATCAATTGGACAAAGACCTGCGTCACTATGGAAACGCTTTGTTCGTCCAGGGAACGGCACGTTACATCCTAGTCCCAGGCCGTCTCCTGCTGATGCACGTCGTTGTGTCAGTCTGGAGATATTTACGATTGTATGTGTGTCGCTAAGGTTACGTCTATGTCCAGGTTTTTTCGTCTGTTTTTCATTTTGTTTCAGGCTTCCTCTAGGCGAGACATCAATGGCATGTAGGGTGGGCTCTTCTCCTTCTACAAGAGGCAAGGAACCCTTTCTTACATGCGAAGCAAAAGGAAGCGTGCTGTTCTTGGGTTTACTAACGTTAAGTGGACAGCGTTCCGTGTTGTTCAGCGGTTGATACAAGTCATCACTATAGACATAACAACCGGCATTATCATCTTTATACTCGGGATAAGATCGCGAATATTGCTCATCACTCTTCATCATGTGACCTGACGAAGACGTTCGCTTTGATTTCATTTTGCTTGCAAGAAGAGTAGAGCTTGGTGCCGAGGTGCTGCGTGCCTTTTTGTCAAGTGGTTGGTAGATTGAATCATCCAATGGTTGTTCAATATGATTGGGCGCGTACTCAACAAGRGCCTGGTACATACTCTCAGGTCGTGATGGCTCAAGCACGTGATAGACTGGTTCCGGTAGAAGGTCCTCGGCGCTTGCGTACAGCGTTGACTCCCTATTTGCGCATGTGTTGTCTGTTTTCTCCAAGACATGATACAAAGGTTGTTGTTGTTGATGTTGATTTTTTATTCTACGTAACGTATCAGTCAAGACTCCGTCTCTTGCACAATCGTATAAATTTTCTTCAGGAACACTTTTGGGTTTGTCTGTAAGAACGTTCAGGTTCTCATTAGGACCAAGAAGCTCAAGGTACGAATGGCTTGAAGAACGTCTTTTTTGTAAGTCCTCGGCGCGGGGAAGCGTGGGTAACGGCTTGTTATACGGCTTTCCTGATTATCAATTAGAAATACAAAAAAGTGTTATTAAGTCAGTAGGAAATTATGGCTATTAAAAGATGTTAGCTGGTAAATAACTTCTTATACTTAGCCTTTAGGCACTACCTCACTAAAATCATAATTATATACCTTAATAAATATAACTTAATTTCTACATAATTATTATACTTTTGTAAATATTATCTTTATTTTTGTGCAAAATAAACTGATTCTGATTCTGATTCTGAGGAGCAAGGATGGCCGAGCGGTTAAAACGCCGGTCTATCACCGCTGTGGTCCTGGTTCGATTCCCGGTCCGGGACTATATGTGATTTGAGTTTGTGGGCTGGTTCTCTTCCTTGCTCCGAGGGTTTTTCTCCAGGTCCACTGGTTTTCCTCCCTCAGTCAAAAACTAGCTGTGAGGAGTGTCGTGTAGTAAAATAATGAATGTTGAGGTAGTGAGAATGAGTGAATATATAGGGGGCCCCCTATACAAGTTTATTAGTCTAGAGACTATTACATGCTACCCTCTCAAAATAAAAGAATTTATTCTGAAAACGATAAAAGGAGAAATACAATTGGCCTTTACCTAAACGAGCAGGAGACTGGGTACTAGTTATCTAAATTAACCTAATTAAAAAAATAATCATATCATTGGAAAGACCACCACGAAATAAACAAGATTCCAAAGTTTGGTTGCTTTTGGTTAAATAATGTGTAAGAAATGGACCTTCAAAATGTTCGAAACTTACCAGGTATGGTTTGGATGGACAGTTTTAACCAAAAGCAACCAAACTTTGGAATCTTGTTTATTTTGTGGTGGTCTATCCAATGATGTGATTATGTTTTTAATTAGTTTAATTTATATAACTAGTACCCAGTCTCCTGCTCGTTTAGGTCATGGTTTTGCGTTCCGCCAAATAACCAAATTACTACTGATGGACTTTGGACATTATTCCTCGGTCAACAAACATTATATCATCTCTAACACTGAATATCTAATCACTTTCAAGACCTGCGKAAACCGCGTAAAACACTTTTGAATAAAAAAAGCAACAAACAAACAAATAAATGAAAAACACGTAAAACAACAAACAGAYAAACACAGGAAGCCCAGTTTCTATCCGTACTTACGCTGTAAGTACGATTGATTGATTGGTTCGTCATACATGTGTGCCGAGTTGCGATTTACTAGTGGATTTTGTAGCAGAAAAGTGTCTTCAAAGTTTAGGGCAGCATTGTCAAGAGCCAACACAGGGGCATACAAGGACTCATCGTCGTTAAGGAGAHGCTTTGTATCCACGCCTCTAGCAGGAGAGCCTTGTATACCTAGCAACCAAATATATCATATTATCCTAAAGTTTGTGTACGCTAGACTTTTCCGCAAACAACTCGAGTTTCTAAATATATTGCGTGTTTCAACTGTGGAAAGATATGGAAGACAGTTGCCTCGAGCGCCAAAAAAAAAAAGAATTTTATGCATTGTTGTTTGTCCCACTAGTTTCCCACTTTTGTAAGACAGGAAGCCCGTAATTTTAGAGCAAAAGGTGATGGGTGCGAAGGAGGATTGGAGAGTGTCAGCTTTCTGCATTATTCTTTCGATACAAACAGTTCGTTTTGTTACCTAGTGACTGTATTGCGCGAAGTGATTACCTGAATGATCTACAGCTTGTTTTCCTGACCTTTATAGACACACAAAAAAAAACATAGAATTAGATGATAACTAGGAGTCCATTTTGTTTATTTCATTAATCATCATATTTACTRCTTGAATACCTTTTATTAAATGTCATTTCCATCTCTTCAAAGAGGTCAGCATTTTTGTCAAATTTCCCTTTTCTCCGCCTAARAGTTCAAATATAAAGTCCGTGAGCACCGGWGATGTACCGTCATTTTTCTGATCTTCAGCTTTGATTACAGCCACCTAGAGTCTTCATACATATGACCTCTAGGGAGATGAGATGTACAGCTCTACTAACATGCTACTACAGCTATACTCATTACATTTTGTATTTTCTCATCAAGTTGGAATTGATGTCTGGAGTGAAATGAGTGAACTAGTCAGACTATTTTGCCGACCATCACAAACATTTTTTGCAAACTTTGTTAAAATCCACATAACGCAGGCGCAATCAATCGATTTATTCAATAATCACCTTTTTCTTTTGCATGAACAGCAGATCGTTGCTATCACAACAGTTGTCAAGACAACAAAACCACCACTCCCAGATGCAATCCACATTAGTAAATCTAGAAAATACTTCATGTTTACCATACAGTTACATACATGATTTATATACGCAATTCCATGTATTCGAGCGCAACGATAGACACGCCTGAAACAACTACATGACAATCATAAACTATGCATTATGTTATATACACTGGAAAAAATCGCGAGCTTTAAAGGTTGTTAATTTGATGTAAATATGATGTAAGTGTCYAAAATTCTGTAAATTTGATGTAAAGAATTTTGGAAATTACATCATATTTACATCAAATTTACAACCTTGAAAGCGCGATTTTTTTCAATGATATATACTACAATACTATTAACAAACATTAACCATTGACTTTACCATCTGATTTATTTTCTTGATTCTTGTTAGAAGCGGACTGGGTAGTATCAATAGTCACTCGGTCCGATGYTCCTGTAGTCCCCTCAATTCCAGGTTCGTCAGTTGTCTGGCTAGTTGTGGATGTTTGGAGATATGTTGAAGTAGATGTAGGTATGGGTGTTGATATTAATGATGTAGGTATGGGTGTTGATATTAGTGATGTAGGTATGGGTGTTGGGGTATATGATGCAGGTATGGGTGTTGATATTAATGATGTAGGTATGGGTGTTGATATTAATGATGTAGGTATGGTTGTTGGGGTATATGATGTAGGTATGGGTGTTGGGGTATATGATGTAGGTATGGGTGTTGCGAGGTATGTAGATGTGGATGTTCGTGAGGGTGATGAATGTGCTGTTGTGGAATCAATGGTGCGAGGAGAAGAAAGAGAGGTTGTTGGCCAAGAAATAACAGAAGTTGTCGGTGTTGCTATGTGTGGCGTGCAAATGATGGACGACTTAATTGACATCCAGAATGACGTAGAGCTTGGCACAACTGATGTACTCGATTTGACCCCTGAAAAAAAGGACCGGGACTGGGTTTGTACATGACGTCACTTCTATACACTCTGACGTCATGGCTACCATATCTGACTATTTAAATGAATCTAATATGCGATCTTTGATTTGAATAAATCAAAAAAGGATCAATACAATAAGAAAGGATTAATACAGCATCAAGAAGGGATCAATACAACATTTGGATTACCTTTTACTCTGACGTAAGTAGGAAATCTTATCATGCACTGTCCTGCGTCATTTTTTAACATCACTTGATATAATCCCGTGTCTTGAAGTGATATTTTGTCAAATACTAGATCCCCATCGTCTTCGTATACGTGGGAGTTGTTAAGATGAGCGATAGGGATTGCATTTTTGTACCACAAACAGACAACATCCTCTTCACCATCGTCTGGGCACTGAAGTTCCTTATGTTCTCCAGAATTGGCAAGCAAAATAGGACTTAGTTCTTTGTTGCAGGAAGGCTGGGAAACTGCYAATCAAACAATTTCATTAAAGAAATATTTAAAGTAAACTTTGTTACTACTCGATCTCGATGCATGTTCAGTCGCGATGGCTGTGGTGTCACTATGAATTTAAAAAGTAACTTTAACACTGAAAATACGGCGCGCTTTTTCTCAATAAAATCACATACCTTTTTGTTTAACTAGTAACAATGCTTTACAAACTAATGTTTGGTTTGCGGTMTCATGTTTACATGTGTAAACACCGGAATCGTCTATTTCAAGACGGTGAATAAACAGTTTCATGGTCATTGTAGTATTGTTGTTGATATAGCTGTACTTTGAAGACGTTCCAATCTCAGTCAGTCTCACGTTGTCCTTGTACCATGTGACGGTCGATGGAGATGCAGTGAAGCTATAATAAAGTATTCATGATACAATGTTTTAAATCTCAAGTAACATTTGGTTGTCCACTGGGTCACTGGACTTTTATATGACAAAGCTGATATTTTATTCATCGGTATCTGATCGATTCTGGATACGAAATCCTCTCTATCAAACTACTATATACAACTGGCATTTGTTTTTCCATGTCTAACTGGTGCCATATTTTTATTCCACGATAGCGAAACTCATTAATGACACTTACTTGTAAATGGCTAGAGATACGATGCATTCAATAGCGACTAACGATGTTCCAGCTGTCACGGTTTGGTTTGGAGAAGATTTCATAATGGTCATGTTATGCCACTTTAATTTGCCTGTAACGTGTACAATTGATTAGGGTAATAAATTACACTGTAGCCTCAGCGCACCACAGTAGCAAAAACGCCTTGAGGTGTAAGGACCCAGACAAGACGTATTTGACTTATTAGAACGTATTCGCATAACCCACTTTTTAAATGCTAATGAGTTTGYTAATATTCTAATGAGATTGGCACAAGAAACAAAAGAGCAAAAACATGCTTGAGTGATTTCAAAATATTAAATTACTATTTTGAGCTCAGTTCAATAAATACACAATTTCAAACGGAAACATTTTTTTTTATTAAAGTTAACCAATTTCAACAGTTATTGGCTACAAGATTGAAAATTCCTTGAATGCCAACAGATCGTTTCTTTTAAGCGGTTCATAATGTTAATTTAAATTGTTTTAAATAAATTGGGCGCATGGGAAGAATTATAAAACAAGCATTGCAGACTTCCACAACCCGTAGATACCAGAATCAAAACCGATTCTGGACAATGAGGTCCGTTTCAGAGGTCGATATTTTGCCGCGTCTAATCTAATTACTTGCATGTAGTTTACGAGAAGTTGAGATAGCTGTATAGCTTAAATTAAAATGTTTCCTTTGGAAATTTTGCATTTATTGAACTGAGCTCAAAATAGTTTTGAAATAATATTCGCTACTGAAATCACTCAAGTATGTTTTTGCTCTTTTGTTTCTTGTGCCAATCTCATTAGAATATTAGCAAACTCATTAGCATTTAAAAAGTGCGTTATGCGAATACGTTCTGTTTACACGATAAAGAAATGAAAGAAAGCTATAGTGCCTAGAAAGGGACAATTCCGGGAGAAAGACCCTTGTGAATAAATTCCGAAAAATTAATTTCCGACACCGCTGGATTCGAACCCACGACCCTCGGATTTATACTACCGATGCTCTACCAGCTGAGCTACAAGGCCAGACTGTAGGCNAGTATTTTTATGATCTCATAAAGAGGACGTATAAAGTCTGTTATAGGGATCATTATGTTTAAATAAAGCACTGATTTCATAATGTCTATTCACGTTATAGCATTATTGAAATATTATAGTCCGACATAACGAAATATCAAATAGAAACATTTTTGCCCTCATATTTATCTTTTATTTTAAGATTTCGTTTCGTTTCTCTCAGATATAACTACGGCAAGCCACAGAAAACCGAAGACGAATTAAAGGATGTAATGCTTGAGCTGCTATCACAAACTACTGGTGATTACACCGTTACAGAACAGACCCAGCCCTACATTAGAGAATTCTGCTTGAGGCATGGTAACCAGCCTTCCATGGTGAGCTACCTCGATCAAACTCTGACAGACATGGGAAGGTTTTGTACTACAAACACTTCTGACAAATCGCCATTTATAGTAGACACAACGTTCAACATCTGTGATTATTATTTCACTCAGACCGCATACATGAATTTGTCTGTTGTCCAGAAGCGYACACAAAAGCATCCATGGTTTCYAGGTCCACTTCTGGTTCATCGCTCAAAAAAACAGGAAGTTTTCCAATATTTCTGGCAATCCGTRAAACGTGACTGCCCCGCACTCGAGAACATTRCCACGCTTGGTACAGACGAGGACGAGGGGATGGCTAATGGTATACTCTCAGAGACATGTGACGAGACGGTTCATTTGCTTGGCCAAGAGCATGTACGCTTAAACATCGAAAGAAAATTGGACGAGCTAAATTTCCCTAAAGCCCAAAAGCGACTTATAGTGTCTGACATCTTCGGTGGAACAGCAGTTAGTGAGGAAGAGTCGCTATATGGCAGTTCTTGCCCAACTGAGTTTGACGAAAGAGTAGAAAGAATGAAAAAACAGTGGGACGAGCTAGAGAGGGCTTCTACCAGAAACAATCCCCMAAAATTTGTAAGGTATTTTGAGACTTACAAAGAAGACAAAATTAAGAATTGCATGTCCAAATATGTGAGAGAGCAAGTGGGCATTGACGGAGTATATGGGCAAAAYCCAATTGAGTGGCTTCACTTTATGTCCAAGAGTGAAATCAATGAAGCTGTGAAGCAATCTGGGGACACGCATCGAGATACAACCCTTACAGCTGCACTAGACGCCCTGAAGGGAAGGAGTATCCGTTTATATTCWGACACTGTTAAAGCYATCTACGGAGAAGGTCCYTTTAAGTTATCAGGTAAATAAGATGAGAACTATTTATTCCATATTATAATAGCAATATTTTATATATTCAATATTTCATGTCATAATTAGGTTGATTATTTTGTTTTATCTAGTTCGTGGTATTATCATTTCATTAATTTCAAAGATATATACTTATTTGTATGAGATTTGCGTGGTATAAATATCATCATTTTGTTTTTTCTAAATCAGGTCCTTTCCAGCGATACTACAAGTCTTATGACGAATGGAAAGACATGAGCAAAGACGAGAAAGCAGAGCACGTGCAGATGTTCTTAACTGCAAACCCTCTGAAACGGCGAGCACATCAGGTCCGAAAGAATGCAGGCAGCTCAATTCCCATTCAACTGCCTGAATCTAACCATAATCTTCACTCACTTGATTTTCCCAAAGCACCTGCAGGCAAAGTGATCAGCATAAGTGCAGAAGAAGCTTCTATTCCAGAAGAATGTATCCGGCTCTCCACACTAAGGGATGTATTTCACAAAGCAGAGTTCCTTCTTAATACACCAGGTTCAATAGCACAGGCTGCATCTGACGACMACAAAATGCGTACAGTCAAAAGCAGGAGCGGTGGCATACCGCTGATCGTAAAACCACAAAAGAAGGGTAGCAATTTGTTCAACTGCCAATGCAGCACGTTCAAAGGYTTGGGTATCTGTGCGGACACAGTAGCTGTTGCTGAGTCCCAATCTTTGCTCTTTGAATACCTTACTGAGTTAAGAAGCAAATTGTGTAAAGCCCGAGCAAAACCCAGAGGCAAAGGTCGAGGAGATGTTAACATAACAGCTGCAATAGAGACTGGTCTAAAAATCTCAGAAACAGGTACGACAAAACTCCCTTAAGTCTGACACTACTCCGCCAGTATTCAAAGCACTTATTTCAGAACGTTTTGACAATAGTTAACGCAGTTGTAACAATTTGAATATTGGTATTGCAGGTCTCAAGCCAAATGACGCCAAAAAGGTGGCACATAGGCGTGCCGCAAGTAACACTCCTACGCAATCGATCGCTTGCAATGCCCCACCGTTGCAGCAGCCATTACAGACGCATCAAATACTGCAACCTATGCAGCAACCCATACAGCAACCAGTGCAACAACCCATACAGCAACCTATGCAGTCAATGACCAGTCACCACACCCCTCAGCAAATACCTCAAGGTGCTTTACCAATACACACCATGTATCAAGCGCCACAGAGTCCCTGGGCAATGCCCCCAATGAATTTTCAATGGCAAAGTAATGGGATGACAGCAAGCCAGCCGACTATGACGAATCAGCAGTGGAATGCAGGGATGTCTCCACACCCATACACACTTTGCGAACTCCCCAACGCTGCCAGAAAGTGCTATGGATGTGGAGAAGAGTTTGCAGCAAAATACAGATCGCCTCCGTACAATATCGTTGTAAGGCACGTGGACCGCCGCATTCAAAGGCGTGATGAAAACACAGGACTTTTTATTTACAGCTCTGATTTTACAAACACGTACTACCACCCAATATGCAGTCATATCACTAGGAAAAACCCCATGTTTCAGAAGAGCGTCCAGATCGACCTCCAGAGGTACAATGGCTTCTCGCTAAGACAGCAACTGCATACTGCCTCTTTCGATTTCGATATAAAGTATATTTGATTATTTTTTGTTCTTTTTTTTGTTTGCTCATTTGATGATTAAGAGAGAAGTATATAGAGTTTAAACGCCGCATATGGAAATGTTTCTCGGTCCTTTTTACACATATATATATATAATGTTTTAGTATGAGAACAATGTAAGCTTTCCTGTTCTTGATCCAGGAAAATGTAGAAATTGATTTTAGTAATGAAAACTGAAAAAAAAACTATTTCAAAAAAGGTTGTCAGGTAAAATGGCCAATGTCAATTGTCTATTTGTAAGGGGCAATTTATCGCTCTACTTAAATAGATCTTAGTTTACCTATAGAGTTCTCGCTTTCCTCGAAGCCGAGGCATTTTATCCTTTAGGTAGATATCGAGTCTGGTTATCTCTAGACAAMTTTTCCTTCTCATTGGGTTTCTTGGTGGGCCGAGGTTTATTTAATTACATCAGCCTATTTTTAGGTTTCTGCAGTGTTTTGTAGTTTCCGAGCTGTTGATTAAATGAACTTCCTTTCCCCAATGAGGAGACCTAGTTGTTTTTGTATTATAAATTTGCGTAGAATTAGTTTCTTTTAAGCTATGATTTGTTCATGTTTTACTAGAGATGTTGCACGGCATTTTAAGTGCAGTCATAAATAAATAAACTTCCTTCCCAAATTATACCCAATAAGTATAAAATGCATGATTAAAAGAAGTGTTGGGATAAAAATTTGTTTGTTGGATAGTTATTTCACTCATTTCATTTATTTTTTTTTCACTGTTTTTTTTTCGTTGTTGTTTTTTCTTCTTAATATTCAAAAATAAAAAATAAAAACCTTTTTTATTATTAAAATAATTACTTTTTTGTTTTTTTTACACTCGTGTGTCCTCGTGTGTCCTTGTGGTCACTCGTGTGTCCTTGTGGTCACTCGTGTGTCCT